TTTGCACATCACAGAGTCACCCCAGCCCTGCCACAGAGGTTCTGGGTTAATGAGTCATTCTGTTCCCTTCACTCATGTCTGATTCTCCTGGGGGTGGGAGGCTGTAAAGGACCTGGTGGGAGCTCTGATGGACAGGAAGGCCCATCCTGACACCAGACAGCCTGGGGAGTGTTGCAGACAATCATCCTTCTTTTCCTTCTCTCCCAGCCTCTTCCCTGCAGCACCTGGAGCTCTCAGTATGAAGGTCCCAGCCCTGCCCTATTCATAGGGGCCCCTCAGTGGCTGAGGATCTGAAATGTGGAGGAGGCTGGCTGTCAGGTGAGTACACCAGGGCTCAGCCAGGAATCCCAGGCCTCCTTCTAACTGTAAGGGTTGCCTCCTTAAGTAGTCCTTTCTGTTTGCCTCCCTGCTTACTAGCTCGTTCACAGCCACTTCCTGTGAACTTCATCCTTTTGAGTTGGGTTTGCAAGGCCACCCCTTCCTGGGATTAGACCCAGGCCCCTCTCCTCTTAGCCCCTTGGATATTCCCTTCCCCTGGACACATCACATGGAGCCAGCATGCTGCTCTCACCTGAATGTGAGTATTGTGTGCCTCTGTCCCCACACCATCCACACTGGGCTCCAAACACTCTCCCAAACAGAGAATCGGAGTCAGGACTGCAATCCCTAAACCCCTCAGCATCTACAGGCCTTAAGCCTTGGTGTGGGCGACAACTGTGAGGAGACAGCAGCACTCAGGGCTGAGCTTGTGCAACTTACTGCTGTTCAGTGATAACGTGTTAGTCTCCTGGTCTAATTTCCAGGAGAAGTTTAAGAAGGGCGGGGTCAGGGGTCAGGCTGGAATTCATCTTTCCCTGTCCTCACCCCAGGCCTTCTGTCCCTCATTTCCCACATAATTAAGCCCTCAATACCTGTTACCATAAAAGCCCCAGCCTAAGGTGCCAATGATGATCGAGCAGGTGAGGATCACAGGGAGAATTGAAGTGATGGGCGTGTTGGCCTTGGACGGGACTGTTGCTGTGGCAGTGGTTGATGCAGCTGTAATGGAACACAAAAGGGTAACATCCATGCAGAACCCAATTCTACGGAGAAGCCTCCTCAACCCACGCTGTCCCAGGTAATCCTATGATGCAGACAGTTTCTACCCTCTACGTGTGGCAGCCACTGGACAGATCCTGGGGTTGGAGCAAAGAGAGGAGATGGGCTCACACAGCTAATGTGGGAAGCAAAGGACACAGGAATCACTCCTTATGGGACAGAAGAGGAGGTGACACATGAGGAAGGTGGTAGAGAATCCTCCCAGGAGCTGATTTGAGGTGGTGTTAAAGGATTTCCAGAATAGGCCAGGTGAGTTGAAGAAGACAAGTGATGCTGAGAAGGGGCAACAGGACAAGGAAAAGGTCTGAAAACAGAACAACGACCGAAAGTTTGCAGTCAGCAAGAAATGCACAGTGAGTGGTCCAAGGTATGTGACGTGAGGAAGTGAGAAGCCAAAGGAGGGATCACAGAACTAACCTATGGCTCTTACTCTCCAAAACACCCTCACTGTGGGGGATGGCTCACTTTCTCAAACCACACACAACACACAACACACACAGTGTGAATGTCATTTCAAGGGACATACAACTTCATTTCCTCTGTAGAATTACCTTTTGTGCTCAGGGGACACAAAACTTCTTTAAGCCACTTCCTACAGTCTCCAACTGAGGTCCTAGCAAGGAGATTGGTCATATCTTTGTCACTCGCCAATGTTTGCTTTAACACTCTGCCTTCACCGTGCAGCACTGCCCAGTTTCCATTCCTTGGGTCAAAGTGGACAGATATCTGTCCATCCAATCCAAACTCCCAGGATGCTCCGGTGCGTCCATTGGATTCCTGCTCACACATCATGCTGCTCTGCAGGGAGAGAGGACCTGTCCCCAAAACCAAGGGAAAGAGGTCAGCCTTGGGTCTTGACAGAGCCTTTGTCCCCACCTGGTGTCCAGCCCGCTGCTCCCCTCTTATCTCCTGGTCCTGCTCTGTCCTCTGTGGCTCCTGAGTCTCTAGGGTGGGACCAACTTTCAAAATTTACATAAACACAATTGTTCCCTGACCTTACTATCCTGTTCCACCTCTACCCTGGGTTTTGTAAACGTACCTCTGGGTGCAGTAATCTCTGCTTTAATGTCAAGCAGGGTCTTCTTGAGCTCCTCCACTACATCTTGCAGAGTGTCTCTCTGCTGATTCCAGGCCTGTGTAGCATTCACATCCAGAACACTGAAGAGTTTGACCTCCTGGCTACCACAGGTATAATGAAGAAATGTGTTTCCATTGACCTGGCCTTGAATTTCACACCATGGTTGCCCATTAGGAGTGACTGTGAATTTATAGTCCAGAGATTTAGCACCTGTGAGGAGAAAATGCAGGGGAAGGTTGGAGTTGGAATAAAAGTAACCCTAAGTGCTCCTCCCCCATTCCTGACAGCAAGTGAATCCCCCTGATGGCTGAGCAGCCCTTGCCCTGTTCAGGTCCAGATATCAGAGGCTCAGGCTCCCAGTTTTATTTTTTCAGAAAAGGATATATTTTTCTTCAAGTAACTGCAAGTAGGAAACCAGAGGGAGGGGCCCAGGCTGGGACAAATCATGGCTTCCTCCTCCCCAGGGGAAAAGGGGGAGAAGGTGGCCCTACACTCTCTGCTGTCAACACAGGCGCCCTGCTCACTCTGCTGCAGCATCCTGGGGGCAGAGCCCCACCTGCCCTGGGGCTGGGGCAGTGGATTCCCAGCCTGCTTTGCCCCTGGCCCCTCCCTAAGACCATCTTGGAGGGGAGTGTGGGCAGAAGAGGAGGCAGTGAGGATGAACATTGGGCGCTGGCAGCAGCAGCAATGACAGATGTCTAAGAACAGAACATGGAACAAAAACAACACACTGTCCAGAGGGAGTTTGTGAACAGAGGAAAGATGGAACCAGAACCTTGGGGGGTGGGGAGGAGCAGGGGGTGGGAGTGGGCAAGGCTGGCTCCTTGTTAGTGCCCCATCTGAGGGGAGGACAGTGGAGGCCTAGAGTGGAAGCAGATGGAGTCGGGGGCTCACACCCCTCCTGCCTTCCCTTCTGTGCCTCAGGGGGGCGCTGTTCAACCTAGTGCAGGGCTAGGACCTTGTGGAAGAAGGAGAGGGTGTGAGCCGCCCCTGGTGAGACACAGGTTGGTTGGGGCTTCTTGGGGCCAAACAGCCCTATCCATGGCCACAGGTGCTGCTGGAGGACGGCGGAGTGGGCATGTCAGAGTGAGATGGGGTTCAGGCCCCTTTAGGGCCAGGGGAGCCCTCCCAGGCCCCCTCATGGGGAGCCAGAGGTAAGAGTGGGGAATGGACCCCTAAACCAGGAGCCCAGTCAGCAATGCCCCCACCACCCAGGGCGCAGGGACGCAGCGGGCATGGGACGCAGCGGGCATGGGATGCGGCTAAGTGGGACGTCAGCTTTGTCAAGAGGTCAAGGAGGGGGGGAGGGGGGATGCACGTGGGGGTGCGGGGTGCTGGGAACCGAGCCCAAAGGAAAACTGCTCTCACTC